CCGCTTCCAACACACCCCCTCCTCCTGGACACCACCCCAAGGCCTCCTACCCTCCCTCGACCTCTTCATCTCCAACTGCCGTCGAGACATCAATCGCCTCAACCTCTCCACCCCTCTCACCCACTCCAACCTCTCCCCCGCAGAACGTGCAGCCCTCCGCTCCCTCCGCTCCAATCCCAACCTCACCATAAAACCCGCGGACAAGGGAGGTGCAGTTGTAGTATGGCGCACTGACCTCTACATCGCCGAGGCCGGACGCCAACTCTCCGACACCTCCTCCTACCGCCCCCTTGATCATGACCCCACCCCTGAGCACCAAACCATCATCTCGCAAACCATCCACAACCTCATCACCTCAGGTGACCTCCCACCCACGGCCTCCAACCTCATCGTTCCCCAACCTCGCACTGCCCGCTTCTATCTCCTTCCCAAAATCCACAAACCTGAATGCCCTGGTCGACCCATTGTCTCCGCCTGCTCCTGCCCCACCGAACTGATCTCCAACTATCTCGACTCCATTTTCTCCCCCTTGGTCCAGGAACTCCCTACCTATGTCCGTGACACCACCCACGCCCTCCACCTCCTCCAGAACTTCCAATTCCCCGGTCCCCAACACCTCATCTGTACCATGGACGTCCAGTCCCTCTACACCTGCATTCCCCATGCAGATGGCCTTAAGGCCCTCCGCTTCTTCCTGTCCCGCAGGCCCGACCAGTCCCCCTCCACTGACACCCTCATCCGCTTAGCCGAACTCGTCCTCACACTCAACAACTTCTCTTTCAATTCCTCCCACTTCCTACAGACAAAGGGGGTAGCCATGGGTACCCGCATGGGCCCAAGCTACGCCTGCCTCTTTGTAGGTTACGTGGAACAATCCCTCTTCCGTACCTACACCGGCCCTAAACCCCACCTCTTCCTCCGTTACATTGATGACTGTATCGGTGCCGCCTCGTGCTCCCACGAGGAGCTCGAACAGTTCATACACTTCACTAACACCTTCCACCCCAACCTTAAATTTACCTGGACCATCTCTAACACCTCTCTCCCCTTCCTGGACCTCTCTGTCTCCATATCGGGCAACCACCTAGAAACCGATATTCATTTCAAGCCCACCGACTCCCACAGCTACCTAGAATACTCCTCCTCCCACCCACCTTCCTGCAAAAATGCTATCCCCTATTCCCAATTCCTTCGCCTCCGCCGCATCTGCTCCCAGGATGAGGCATTCCACTCCCGTACATCTCAGTTGTCCTCGTTTTTCAAGGACCGTAACTTCCCCTCCTCGGTGGTCGAGAACGCCCTCAACCGTGTCTCCCACATCTCCCGCACCTCATCCCTCACACCCCGTCCACGCAATAAGAACCAAAAAAGAATCCCCCTCGTCCTCACGTACCACCCCACCAACCTCCGGATCCAACGCATCATCCTCCGACACTTCCGCCATCTGCAATCCGACCCCACCACCAAAGACATCTTTCCCTCCCCACCTTTATCTGCTTTCCGGAGGGACAACTCTCTCCGTGACTCCCTTGTCCGCTCCACACTCCCCTCCAGCTCCACCACACCCGGCACTTTTCCCTGCAACCGCAGGAAGTGCTACACCTGCCCCCATACCTCCTCCCTCACCCCCATCCCAGGCCCCAAGAAGACTTTCCACATCAAGCAGATGTTCACCTGCACATCTGCCAATGTGGTATACTGCATCCGCTGTACCCGGTGTGGCTTCCTCTACATCGGGGAAACCAAGCGGAGACTCGGGGACCGCTTTGCAGAACACCTACGCTCGGTTCGCAACAAACAACTGCACCTCCCAGTCGCGAACCATTTCAACTCCCCTTCCCATTCCTCAGTCGACATGTCCATCCTGGGCCTCCTGCAGTGCCACAACGATGCCACCCGAAGGTTGCAGGAACAGCAACTCATATTCCGCTTGGAACCCTGCAGCCCAATGGTGTCAATGTGGATTTCGCAGGTTTCAAAATCTCCCCTCCCCCCACCGCATCCCAAAACCAGTCCAGCTCGTCCCTGCCTCCCTAACCTGTTCTTCCTCCCACCTATCCCCTCCTCCCACCTCAAGCCGCACCTCCATCTCCTACCGACCAACCTCATCCCGCCCCCTTGACCTGTCCGTCCTCCCTGGACTGACCTATCCCCTTCCTAACTCCCTACCTACACTCACCTTTCCTGGCTCCATCCCCGCCTCTTCGACCTGTTTGTTTCCTCTCCACCTATCCTCTCCTCTATCCCTCTTCTATCCGCCTCCCACTCTCTCCCTATTTATTTCAAAACCCCCTTCCCCTCCCCCTTTTCTGATGAAGGGTCTAGGCCCGAAACGTCAGCCTCTCTGCTCCTATGATGCTGCTTGGCCTGCTGTGTTCAGGCAATATAAGCTTATCCATTTTGGAGCTAAGAAGAATAGAATAGAGTACCTTCTAGGGAAATCAGAAGAACAAAAAGAGAGTATGAGATGGATCTGGCAGATAAGGTTAAAGATAATCCCAAGATGTTCCATCGCTATATTAAGAGTAAAAGGGTGGCTAGGAAGAGAATAGGTCCCCTTAAAGATCAGCGTGGCCATCTATGCGTGGAGCCACAGGAGATGGGGGAAATTTTTAATGAATGTTTCTCCTTAATGGTTACTGAGGAGAGAATCATAGATGCTAAGGAAATAAGGGAAACAAGTGCGGATACATATTACCACAGAGGAGGCGTTTGCAGCCTTAGATCGCATTAAGGTGGATAAATCCCCTGGGCCTGATCAAGTCCATCCTCGGACGTTGTGGGAGGCTAGGGAACAAATTGCAGGGGCCCTTGCAGTGATTTTTGCTTCATCTTTAGCTACTGGTAAGTCGTAAGTTCTGGAAGACTGGAGGGTGTCTAATGTTGTTCCATTGTTTAACGAAGGTAGCAAAGACAAGCCAGGAAACTACCGGCCAGTGACATCAGTAATAGGTAAGTTATTGGAGAGGATACTGAGGGACAGAATCAACCAAAATTTGGATAGTCAAGTTCTGATTAGGGATAGGCAGCATGGATTTGTGTGTGGAAAGTCATGTCTGACAAATCTTCTAGAGTTTTTCGATGAGGTAACCAAGAGGATAGGTAACAAAGAGGGTAGGGCAGTGGATGTTGTCTATATAAACTATAGTAAGGCCTTTGACAGGGAGAGCTAGCTAATTGGATTCAAAATTAGCTCGATGGTAGGAAGCAGAGAGTGATGGTTGAAGGTTGTTTCTCGGACTGGAGGCTTGTGACTAGTGGTGTGTCACAGGTGTTGGTGCTGGGACCTTTATTATTTGTTATTTACATAAATGATCTGGATGTGAATGTACAAGGCATGATTAGTAAGTTTGCAGATGATACAAAAGTTGATAGCAAGGAAGGTTATCAAAAATTACAGAGGGATCTTGATCAGATGGGGAAGTGGGCTGAGGATCGGCAAATGCAATTCAATACAGATGAGTGAGAGGTGTTGCACTTTGTAAAGTCAAACCAAGGTGGGACTTATGCAGTAAATGGTAAGGTCCTGAGGAGTGTTGTGGAACAGAGGGACCTAAGAGTACAAGTACATAGTTTGTTGAAAATGGCACTACAGGTGGACGGGGTAGTGAAGAAGATAGCATGCTGGCCTTCATCGGTTAAGGCATTGCATATAGGAGTTGGGATGTTTTGTTATAGTTGTATAAGTCGTTTGTGGGGTGGGGGGGAGCATTTTGAGTATCGTGTACAGTTTTGGTCATCCTGTTACAGGAAAGACATAATTAAACTAGAAAGTTTGCAAAGAAGATTTATGAGGATGTTGCCAGAACTAGTAGGCCTGAGTTACAGGGAGAGGTTGGTCAGGATAGGACTTTATTCCTTGGAATGTAGGAGAATGAGGGGTGACCTTTATTGAGGTGTATAAAATCATGAGAGCCATAGATAAGATGAATGTATATACTCTTTTTTTTTCCCAGGGACGGGGAATTGAAAACTCGAGGGCATAGGTTTAAGGTGAGAGGGCAAAGATTTAAGATGAGGGGCAACTTCTTCACGCAGAGAGTGGTGTGTATATGGAATGGGCTGCCAGAGAACGTGTTTGAGGCAGGTACAATAGCAACATTTAAAAAGCATTTAGATAGGTATATGGATGGGAAGGGTTTAGAGGGATATGAACCAAATGCGGGCAATTGAAACTAGCTGAGTAGGCACCATGGTTAGCATGGACCAGTTTGGGCCAAAGAGCCTGTTTCTATGCTGTATTACTCCATGACTCTTAATGGTGAAAAGCCAGAAACCATAGACGTCTGAACAAACTCTGGGTCGAGGTACAATTATTATTAAAGTGTCATGAACAAGTACAGAAAGTGATCAAAAAAGACCATTGAAGTGCTTGACTTTACAACAAAGGACTAAAATACAAGAAGGGAGAAGTCTTGTTTTACCCATACAATGCTATGAATAGAAGTATTGAGAGCAGTTCTGGACATCATGTCTTGGAGGGGGTGCAAGGGTTAATTTAGTAAAATAAACCTACTTGTGTATCTACCTCATTCTTGTTTTACTTTTCTTCGTTTCCCATTGGTGCATTTTGGTCCCAACCTTTTATGTTTCACTGACACATCTGCCAAAAGTTGGACTTTCTGAGATAGCTAGCACATGCTTCCTAGAACAAGTTTTGTGAGACTGGAGTGTCACTGTTTGACAGTTATTTTCTGCTTTAACAAGAAAATATCTGGAATACAATCCAAATGCCAGAAAACTTTCTTTGAGGATGAAATTAAGTGAAGAGAATAATTAAACATTGTCCTTTAATATCTGCCACTGAGTAACTCTCCAGCAGTTGCTACATGTCACTGGATTTAATAGCAGTGGTTATGACATTAAGCTAGTCATCCAAAGTTCATGGTTTGAGATCCTATCTCGCCAAGCTCTGAGTTCAGTAATCATGATCATATAGTTCCAGAAATAATCCTTAAAGTACTCACATTGTTATAAAATTCCTCTTTGTTTTCATTTAGTCTGCAGATCTTCAGTCTCGTTACATAGAACTTCTTACGCGATCCGGTGACTATTACAAGTATCTAAGTGAGATGCTGAAGAACATGGAAGAAGTGAAGGTGAACTTTTAGTTTTCTATTCCAGGAAAGTTAATATCATATTGTAATTGTTCTTGAAAATAATGAATAGTATTTGTCCATTTTCAAGTAGGAAGTAAAAGTATATTTTTCCAATATATTCTCTGTCATTTTTAAAACTGAACATATTTACTATTTGGACAGCCTTAAATATTTACTCTCAAAATATAACTAAGGTTACAAATGTAATAACTTTTTAGTTTGTAGATTTTGTGTTTATATTAAAGATGTAGGATACAAATCAAAATATCACAGGCCGCTTCCATCTAATTTTAATTATACAGATAAAAAACACAAAAATAGAACTTTTGGAAGAGGCACTTAAACATGCCCAAGATGAGAATGCTGATAGTGTTCAGCAGAAGAGGTTTCTTGATCAACATTTGAACCAAGTTCAAACTGAGTATGCAGACTTCAGGAAAAGAATTATAGTCCTAGAGGAGCAGAAGAGAAATGCTGAATTGGATCGTGATACCATGAAGCAGAGGGAGGACGCACACCTTCTCCAAATAAAAGAAATCAATGAGAAGATTACAAAATTGACATTTGAAATTGATGAGGAAAGAAGGAAGAGAAAAGCAGCTGAAAATTTGTATGATCAGCAAAAGAATGAACATGACAGTGCTTTCCGAATTAAACAAAAGGAACTGGATGAAATAGTGTTGATAAAATTGGAGATTGAGAAATCAATCAAAGACAAAGAGAGAGAGTTAGAAAGACTTAAGAATGCATTTCAGGAAGAGTCTTTAAAAAGGAGGCAGTTTGAAGGTGAACTAGATGAGCTTAGAGTCAAGTATGAGCAGGAAAACAGGATGTTGAAATCACACATTGAAAGAGAGGTTCATGAAAGAGAAAAAACAGTTGAAAGGTTAACTATAAAAAAGGAAGATGATATTGCAACTTTGAAAATTCAATTGGAGAAAGCTTTGAACGAGAAACGGAATCTCATGGAAGAAATGGAACGATTAAGAAGCTCTATCAAAGAAACTGAATTCAGTAGAAAAAAGGCAGAAAGTGATTCTTTGCAGCAGAAGTCAGCTTGTATTGAGGAATCTAGGAGGAGACAGAAACTTGAAATAGAAATTCAAACACTCACAAAACTTAAAACTGATGAAACACTGAGGCTTAAATCACTTCAGGAGGATACCTCCAAGGCTATCCAAGACAAAGGAAAAGAAATTGAAAAGTTAAGAATTTTACTAGAGGAAGAAGTCAATAAACGAAAACGATTAGAAAATGAAAATGATAAATTAAAACAACAGCAAATTGATTTTCAGAAGAAGGACACAGAAAAACTTACCAAGCTTAAAACTACAGAACAAGAGATTAGAGTTGTAAAGGTCGAACATGAGAAAGTGTCCAGAGAAAGATCTAAGTTGGAACAAGAAGTTGAACGGCTGCAGAACAATATCAGAGAAGCAAACAATGCCAAATATAAAACTGATGAGGAACTAATGCAACTAAGGAGGAATATATTTGAAGAATCTTCAAAGCGAAAGAGGGCTGAAGAAGAGGTTGAGCACCTTGAAAAAAAATGCAAGGATCATACACTCTCAATTACTCAGCTCACACAACAAATTGAGCATATCTCAGTCATGAAGAAAAAAGTTGAAAATGAGCTGTCCGAACAGCAGAAAGCTTTTGACCAACAGCTGAAAGAGAAGAATATTAGCACAGGAGAATTAAGTAGACTGTATGCTGATGTAGAAACATTGCGTCGCCAGTTGAGTCAAGAACAGGAAAATACAAGACAGGCTTGTCAGAGATATGAACATTTCCAAAAAACTATTGAAGAAAAAACCAAGGCTTTGAATGAGAGTCTAAGTGAAATAGACAGACTGCGTTCAGTCATAGAAAATCTCACAAAAGAACGACTGAAGCTGGAAGAGGAATTAAGAAATTTGAAGTCAAATTTTGATGATTTTAAGAGAGTCCAAGATGATGCAGAAGGTGATAAGTCAAGAACCATCTCTGAATTGCGGCTGCAACTTGAACTAACAAACAAAAGAACCACTGATCTTCAAGGGCTAATTAATGAGTTAAAGAATGAAAGGGAAAAATTGAGACTGGAAGTTGAAACATTCCAAAAGCAGGCTCTAGAGGTACATGCAAGTTTTACTATTTTATCATGTGAAGTATTTTGTATTAGTCTTATTAACAATTACTGTGTTCTTTTTAAAGAAAAAGTCAAAGCTAATATAATTCAGTACTTTACAGTATTTCAGATATTCTAAGCGGGTACCCTTAGTTGTGGAAATAAATTGAAGCCGAATTTCTGAAGTTCCCTAATCTAACACAAGTGACAGAATGATAAAATGGCTGTATTTATAATTCCTCTGAGGTTTCCATTAAAATAACTGGAGATAGTGACTGAATTTCTACAGTAGTTATTGCCACTTATTTCTATGCTTGGAGGATAATGAAAAATACAGAGGTTAACATTTTATTCCAGATCATAAAAATTGAATTAAAGCCATTGCGAATTAACTTCAACTTTGTGCTTATGAATTTGTTATTAATTTGATCACTTCACAAATGTTGATCAATCTTTCAGCAAAAATGCAATTTTAAAACCAGTCAAGTGATTTTAAATGCTATATCTGAACACATACTGTAACTTCGACAGAAAATGATCAAAATCTCCAGAGAGTTGGCAAAACTAATGTTGTTCAATTCAATTGGATTCAAACTATCTATCACTGAAGTTACAATGAGATTGGAAACCCCCATCAAAATTTTTAGATTCCTGGAATGACTGCATTTATAGAAATAAAATATTTCTTAAGTAACATCTTCTGAGAATATTTTGAGCACAAGTGACATTGTGGTATATGTCCTATGATTTTATCAGTCACAAAAACAACAAAAGCTGTAAGTTTCACATAGAAGAATGAGAAGGCCAGATTCATGTAAGTTCCTTTCCACGCTACACACCAGCTTGACTTGTAAAAACATTAATTGTTGATGGTGGGCCAAAAATCTAAGAACTCCTTTAAACACTATGGGAGGAATTCACACACCACAGCAAAATGCAGCAAGAGCAACACCTTCTTGAGGGTAATTTACAATGAGCCGTAAATGTTGTCCTTTCTAATGATGCATGTGAATAAAAAGAAAATCTCTGCAAAATTACACTTCCCTTGCCACTGTCAGAATTAACTACGAAAGTTTCTTGACCTATGGCTTCTGACCGACAAGTGAGTTCTCATCCGTGCTGTGGCCAACAGATACCCTTAATTGACATTACTTCTCAAAACCTGATGTCAGGTCATTACCTCTGTGCTAAAAACCTCTGTGCTAAAATGCGGACGCTGTAAATCAGGAAGAGTCACCGGATCTGAAACGTTAACTCTGAATTTTTTTCTTCACAGATGCTGCCAGATCTGCTGAGCTTTTCCAGCAACTTCTGTTTTTGTTCCTGATTTACTGCTTCCGCAGTTCTTTCGGTTTTGAAAACAAGGATAAGAATTTTAAAATCTAAGCATTTTGTGAACACAAACCAGGAGCCAATGTTAAGTCAGTGAATACAGAGGTAATAGGTTATTTTGATGCAAGTTAGGATGCAAATAGAACACAGGAGTTTTGAATAACCATGGTTACAGAGGGTAGAAGATGGAAGTCCAGCCACAAGTGCATTACTATAGTCATGTCTCGAGGTACTGAAAGGCATCGATGAGGGTTTTGCCAGCAGCAGATGAACTGAGTGATGGCTGGAGTTAGCTGATATTGCAGAGGTGGAAGTAGATGGTCTCAGTGGCATATTATACTATAGGATTGATCAGCTGAGATAGTGGCATACATTTAAAGGGATGTTTCAGAATAAAGCATAGGCCCCTGACCTCATTCCAGCAATAATACTAACAACTTGTGCTTCATGCTCTGAACTCTCAATTATCAATAAAGTGAGGGAAGTTGGTTATCAATAATACTATGAAGCATCACTAGTTTACCAATAACCTGTTCACTGATGTTCAGTTTGGGTTGGATTCTGCAAGGGCCATTTGGCTGTTGACCTCATCAAAGCCTTAGTTCAAACATGGACAAAAAGCTGAACTGAATGCAACATTTCACCCAGTTTGGCAAAAAGGTGCCCTAGCAAAACCGGACTCGGTCAAAATCCGTGGGAGACCTCGCCACTGGCAGGAGTTATACCTAGCACAAAAGAAGATGGATATGATTATTGGAAGCCACTCATCTCAGCTCCAGGATATCTCTGCAGAAATTCATCAGGATAGTGGCCTAAGCTCAGCCACCTTCAGGTGCTTCATCAATGACTTTCCCTTCTTCATTGGGTCATAAGTGGGGATGTACGCTGGTTGCATAATGTTCAACAACATTCATGACTCTTTATATAGCAAAGCCATCCAAGTCCAAACTCAGCAAGACCTGGACAATATCCAGGTTTGGACTGACAATTGACAAGTAACATCTGTGCCACATGTGCCAGGCAATAACTATTTCCAACAAGAGAGAACCTGGACAATTGCCCCTTGATATTCATTGGTATTACCATTGATGAATCGCCAAAATCAACATCTTGGGTGTTACCATTGATCAGAAACTGAACTGGACTAGCCATATAAATACTGTGGCTACAAGGGCAGGTGATAAGCTTGGAATCCCATAGCGAGTAACTCACCTCCTGATTCCCAAAGCCTGTCCACCAAGTAAAAGGCTCAAGTTAGGAGTGCAGTGGAATACTTCCTACTTGACTGGATGGGTGCAACTCTAGCAACATTCAGGAAACTTGACACCACAAAGCATCTGAGATAACAAGGTGTACAGCTGGATGAACACAGCAGGCCAAGCAGCATCAGAGGAGCAGGAAGGCTGACGTTTCGGACCTAGACCCTTCTAG